CACACACTTTTTTACGTGGTAGAGCCATGCTGCAGCTATATTAATAGCATAGTTGTAAAACGAATGCGTCGGCTCGACCGGGGAAGGACCACGCTCTCACAGAATACCAGCGTAAAATAGCGGCTTAACACTGCTGTGTTTCCTATGGTGAGTGTAGAGAACCGGAAACCCATTTGACTGGAAAAGAGGCATTCTGTGTGTTAGTCCTCACGGCTGACAACGCATTCTGCATTTTAATTCGCAAACGAAGAGATGTAGATGTCTATGGGCCACAGCAACCACTTGCCATCAGGTGGACTGTGTGTTCGTTTGTCACCCTTATTCTATAAAAAACACACATAATATCATAGCATAAAGAACTAATATTTTAAATTGCCTCTTTCTACAACCCAGCTTTATTACTAATTAGATTAATTTTTGTCACTGATTTTACACAGACAACCGAACAATCACGGGATATGGTAATGTGTTTTAATTTTATGCACTTACGGCCAACTATTTGAAAGCGTTACCTGCTAATATACGAAATAGTTTCTTCTGTGCTAGTTACTTTGGTCGGTTTTGCTTTGAAAATAATAACAGCGTCCTCTCGAAGGTTTCAAAGAAATTCCTGCCAATGTTTCTTACCAATTACGCCTTGATATGACGACGACGGGGTGCATCTTAAAACATTCCATTTTATTTCCATATTGTATGTAATTTCTCAACAAGATGCTAAATATTGTAATGTTTTTTTTTAATTTGTGACGTTTATATTTGCTACTGTTTAAAATGGCATTTCTTTTGTATTTTGATAAAAACTGAACTAAAAAAAAAGGATATTTTTCTTATATTTAGCACCACAGCACCTGTTCGTTCACGCGTGAGGGTTAACATTAGGCAAAAAGCCTTCCTTTTTACCCAAATATAAAATTAACAAAATAACAAACCGTGGGACGGTTCCCGCCGTTTATAATATTAAAGCGTAGCAGGACTGTTTATAAGAGTTTACAACCCGATGACAACGTGTTTATACAAGCCGTCAAACAAATATTATTCCCAAAAATAAAATAACCAGGACGAGAGAGCTCAGTGGGAGAATTTTGTCTGTACTTAATATGTTTACTAAGTTTTTGCGTCGTTTCATCATTGAGTGAGTAAAAACACGATTCAAAATCCATAGTTTTGCGTATAAAAATCTAAATTATACAAGTGGTAAAATTAAACATTAAAGATAACTTAAAAACTACTGGTCAGACCTTGATGAAATTTATATTGTAGTCTCATATAAATTTCATCAAGGTTTGACCAGCTTTCAAATAAAATAAAGAATCATCGAGATCGGTTCACCTAGGAAGTTATTAGGTAACACATAAAAAAACATACAGTCGAATTGAGTACCTCCTCCTTTTTTAAGTCGGTTAAAATAATTAAGGGCAAACCATAATACTATGTTACTATGTGTTAGGACTCCTTTTATTACTATGTTACTAGGTGGTCCTCCCTTTTCTGATTAGGGGTCCGCCTGTGTAGGCACCACCGTCTTACTTCTGCCCCCAAATAACAGGGTCACAAGAGATTAGATGTAGCTTGTTTATAACTAGTTTAGACGAAACAACGTTTACAGTTATGTAATTTATTATCTTTGAAAGAGCAAAATAAATCCAGTGTAAAAATTAAACAATACGATTGCAATTCGCCACAATAACGGCGCAAATTAGTCGGAGAAGGCAGTTAAACTTAAATTGTAGATATGCTAAATTCATCAGATCCTCCATAAACCTGCATGACCACAACTTTGTATATCTACGTCAACACGTTTTCGTGTCTTACTCGTAACAGAATAAAGATCAAAATACCATGAAATTTGCTGCATTTATACCTAGATATTGATAGTCGGTAGAGACCGTATTTTATTAAATGATACCTTTCGAGAATTCCAACTCAGTTATGGTTTATAATTAGGAACAGGTTTCTTGTTCTGATGATTTTTACCGAGGCTAACTAAATGGACATGGTATTTTACTTATTTGGATATATCATAATATTAATACGGGTACTGTCACCGTGCCATTAACTTTTGTTATTTTATTATAATTGTGTAAAATTAATATTGCCGTCAAGAGAAGCCATTACGTTTTTAAACGAAAAGAAAAAAATCTTTCGATATTTTTTTTTGAAAATTTATACTTTACTGTAATTTTTTTATATTATTAAAATTATTAAGTTTTTTAGGAAAATAATAAAAATCTTCCATACACATACAAACATGCATTATTTCTAAATGTATACATATCTACACATATGTTATAAAAGTAAATATATCATTCTTAGATATCTTTAGAGAGTTTTTCTATGACAGGCTACTCAGAAATTTTAATAGCCTTGCCTAAAACTATAATTTCAACATCAACGGTTATATAAACATGTAGGCTTGTAAAGAAGTTGACGCAAAGACGTTACTACAGAATTCATCCCTTAATTGTTTTCAAAGTGCCGCCCGAATTAGCTTATCTCTTGGAGGCCATTTCAAGCTATTAACTACATATTTATGATAAAACCTATTTGGAAAATTCCGAACCGTTTAGTCAAAACTCGAAAACGTCACACATCAGCGTTATATTCAAAAGTTGATTAAACAAGTCCCAGCTTTTGTTGTAACTGGCCGCGATTGGCCGTTTTTTTTTAGTCATTATAGACACAACAGTTCGTTTTAATATAATCGTTCAGTGACTAAAGTAGCCGGTTTTTACTGTCGCCTTTTAGGATTTTATGATCCTTGCACCGTGCCACTTAAATCGATTCGAGACGCATTTTTATCGAGACAATCGAGACAATAGCTGTGACGTTTGCGTTCATTTATTTATAAAATTACTGCATAAAAAATATAGAGGACAGGCATAAAAAAGAAATAGGTCATGCAGGTCGTGGCGGGCGATGCACGTTGGTAAAAAATAACGCAAAATCATCGCGAGTGCAAAAACACGAATGAGTCACGGATCTTCCTTTATCAAGCAATTAATAAAGGAGGTTTTGTAAAGACCGACGGACTTCGGGTCGTTTGAAAGATGATCGTGCAAAACAAAATTAATACTAATACGACCAAGTGTAATTTGTTTCATGAATTTATTTTGTTGCAATATTGTTCGGAAATATAGTGTCATTTATAAAATGGTAAGGTTATAAAAGTACAGATACTCTAAAACAGAATAAGTGATGTGTGGTGCGCATAAAGGAGCCTCTTGCCTCATTTCATCCATTGAATATTGTAAACTTTGATTATAAGAATTAAAAATCAACAAATGCAACCTGGGAAGCATTACCTTATTTACAACTAGGGGAAGAGACCAGGACAGTGATTGTAGTAGTATTACTATAATCAGACTGCGAAGGTTTTTTCTGTGACCAGCAGTGAGATGTTTTGCAGATTGATGCGATTGTAGTTTATACCGACCAAGGAGATAGAATATTGTAATCATTTTTACCGCGTTTTTAGTAAGTCATTTTCTTGTTTGTATGTCTGTTTGTTGTTCCGGGTGGAATATTGTTACTGAAATTTCAAGGTCTTCCCGATGAGCTAGACTTGAAATTTTGAACATAGATCAAAATCAGATAACAATGTAGGAATTTTTAGTACAAAATTTAAAAAAAAAGCTAGCTACATTGTCCCAGATTAATTATACCCTATGAGAAAATATAGGTATAATATTTGGTACTCTCTTTAAACTTGGAACAAGTGTTCGTCACAATAAACAAGATAAGAAGATCGACAAAACCGTATTAAATATTGTTTGTATTTCGTAAGTATTGTTCTAAAGTGTTTGTGACACCTTCAGATCTTTGCCCCGTCGACCTTGAAATTAAAAAGTTATTTTTTGTAGCATCGTGTTTTCCATTTTCGACAGATACCTACCTTATAATTGTTTTTGGGAACGTAATATCGTTGTTGCTTTTTATAAATGGTTTTTATTTGTAGGTTACATATTATGTGAATATGATTTTTAAGTTTACATTTAGGTAATAACAGAAAAAATAATTTAAACTGTCACTAATAAGTAAACTAATAAAATCTTAGGAAATATTATCTGATTATTTAAGATTTATAACTTATATTACATTAAAGCCCTGGTGTTGGATGCTAATTGCTTAGACACTTAGGCGGTTTCTCATCTCAAGGGTACCTCGTTTAGAGCCGGGGCGGCATCAGAGGCATCTGAATTAAGTAATTGGCGCAAATATGAGTATTTGAGAGATGACTACATATTTGTGCCATTTGCTGTAGAGACTATCGGTCCATGGGGTCCACGTGCGGTGAAGTTCTTAAAGGAACTGTATCCTCGACTGGTCGTCGCTGTTGGAAATAACAGGGCTGGTTCTTTTCTCGCTTAAAGACTATATAGCCATTTAGCGAGAAAACGCAGCCAATGTTCTTGGCAAGATACCACGGGGAGTAGGACTGTATGATAATTTACATTTATAGTTTTAGTTTTTCTTTATTATAGTTTTTTTTTTAATATTGTGTGTAACCTTTTAGATAGATTTAATTTTATACTAGTTGTATTTCATTTGAATTCTAATAGTTAGATTACAAATATCCATAAAGCGCAAAAACCGTTGATTATGGTGATGTTTTATTTTTTATTTTAGTCACTATAATGATGATGTCACGTACACAAAATCTAAAAGCAAAACAATGATTATTTCACTTACGTTCTGTCATGTAATGTTTGCTTACAAATGGTAGGTAATAAAATATTTAGCCTAGGATAAACCGTCCGAAGTTGACCGTGGCAAGGTCGTGAGTGTTTTGAACTTGCAACAAAAACATTTGAATTTTGCACTCGCAGCGGCTGATTGATGGAGTTTCTTCTCATGACACACAATATTGATGTTCTTTGTTCTTTTTTTTTGGAACGAGCACTGTTACAGGATGCGTTCGGATACGGCTTGTCATTGAGGAACGTTACTGAAATATTTTCGACTTGTTTACTATCCGCTTATCGCCGATTCTTTTGTTTCAGGTCTTTCAACTTTGCAACTGCCGGCAATTTGATGCAGTTGGTGAGTTCATATCTGGTTTATTTCTTCTAAATATACCAAAAAGTAAAGGACTTCAACTTCGTACGCTGATTATTTAATAGAGCCATCCCAATCGTCTTTATTACAAAAAGTGGTATATACATACCAGCATAAAATAGCAGTTAAATGGTGCTGTGTTTCGTATGGTGAGTGTAGAGAATCGGAGACCTTATTTACTGGAAACGAGGCATTCCATCTAAGTCCTCAGGTGTGGCAATGCATCTGTATTTTGATTATTAAACGAGGATAGATGTAAATTTCTATGGGCCACAACATGAACTTACCATCAGGTGCACTATGACAAAGAAATGTCAACCTTATTCCATAAATAAAACCATACTTTAAACCTATCAAAGAGATAGATATATATTTTCAACTTGGTGGAGCCATGATGCAACTATATTATGGTTGTAGCACGAATGAGTCGGCTCGACCGAGGTAGGACCACGCTCACACAGTATAGGTACCAGCGTATAATAGCAGCTTAATGCTGCTGTGTTTCGTATGGCGAGTGTAGAGAAGCGGATACCCTTTTTACCGGAAACGAGACATTCCATCTTAGTGCTCAGGGGCTACAACGCATCTGCATATTGTTTCTTAATCAAATGGCCACAACATCCACTTACCATCAAGTGAATTGTGTGCTTGTTTGTCATTCTAAAAGGAAAGACTCAATAAACCCCTTTTTGTAATAAACTGGATTGAGTTTAACTCACATCTAAAGTGCCGTTTAATTTCTTAGTTACTCGCATCGTTATTAGAAACGCATCGTTATTTGAAAGTACAATAATTTAGGTTTTAGAGTATCGGAACGCCCTCCATGCCTGCTACGCATACGCTATACGGGTCGCGGTAGACAGTGTTATTGTCTTTCTGTACGTCACGTGTGACTCACGCTATTGTAGAGTACACAATGGACTCTTTGTGCATTGTGCCTCAGGGACCTCGCTGTTACGTATTCTCTAATGAGTAATTAGTTGAACTATAGTAGGTGTAATTAAGCGGCCACGAATGGCATGCAGCTGGATAAGTTTAACTTATGTACAATATATTTTATAAAACATCTATTTGAAGTACGAGTATATTAATTTAATTACAGTTTTAAAATACTATTACAAGGTAATAATAGCATGTTTATTATCGTATCATTATCATCATCACCATCATTACAACCTTTCACACGTCACGCCACAAACACGGTCTTGAGCCACCTGCGTGCATATCTTACCAGGTAGTCACTCCAACCTGTTAGAGGGCTGTCCTAAACTTCGCGTACCCCGGTATATTATAATATGGCCGACCTATTGCCACTTTAGTTTGCTGATCCGTTGAGCTATGTCGATTACTCTGGTTGTATTACAGGTATACCTACTCTTTTAAAATTATATTACTGTGTGTTTAATTTTTACAAAAACAGAAACTCACAGGTATACCTACATATGCATGCAGCCGTAATTTTCCATGTGAACGTAGGCTCACCTAATCGTTCCATTAACGCATTAGTTATATGATACGAAGTTCTCTACAACGCAACGGTCGCGTCGGGTGGCGGACAGTTGTGGATAGATGACCGAATAGATAGTAATAGTTACGATATGTTATGATGTAGCGTTGTAAACACGATCTTATGAATCTCCTATATTTCTTATAATGTTATAACTAGAGATGCATTAATACGCGTTTCTGTCTATACGATACTCATATCGATACTAATATGAAAATATCGGCGATACGGATAACGAATTTAAAAGTAGATAAAATAAGACATAAATTAAGTTGGGTCACAAAATATTATTTTAATTGACAGAAAATTATGGTTGTAATCTATTATATTTATTTTCAACCTAGTAATTAAAATTGTTCTTTTTAATTTTCATCCAAGAGTATTTTTGCTTTTATTTATCTCTTTTATTCCTTTTTATAAGGCAATTAATATATTATTATGAGGCATTTTATTCCATTAAAATCCATTAATAAACAATTTTATTTATTTATAGTTATGTAAATCTATGGGTGAAGGTCTATGTTCAGCTGTGGACTTTTGACAGGCTGTACCATAACCACTATGGTAATGACTCTACATAATTCTCTATTTTTCAGCATAAATATTTTATATGTTTTCGTGGCAGTGGAGCGTAATAAAATATGGCAGTGGTGAATAAATCATTCGTGGCAATTATTTCGCGGAAGTGGGGAATAAGCCGAAATTAACCTACGCCTACGTCTACGTCAAGAATTTGGCATCCTCATGCCTCTTTAGTGGTTTAAGTTGGCGTGTTATAGCAAAAAAATGCATTACTTATATGATGCTGATGTCGGTAATGAGAAATTCCGAAAAGATTTTTAAAATGCCAAAATGACACAATTGCCTCCAGATTGTGCGGGTAGGTTTATTATTAGATTAATTTAAATTCCTATGTTATAAAAACTTCCACAAAGTTTTTCGTGTAACAAATCGCCTCTTTAATGCCACTTAAAGTATCTATTTCGGCTTACAATACGTAAAAAAATCTATAAAGTCTTTTTTTGGACATCAAACTATTGATCCACCGCGAAATAAGTTTTTGTGAACGAAGGCAATGTCGAATGGCACGCGTTCATAGGGGATCGCCCTCAAAATACTCCGTATAGAGTACAAAGAGCAAAAAGGGTACGGGCACAAATATAATAGATATGCCAAAACCCGATCCACCTAAAACTGTTGAATTGCATTCCAAATTTAAATCGGTCAATCGAATTTAGCCTCTATGGGTTTATTTCACGTAATATTTTGTAGCTTCGAACCTATTTGGAGTCCCTACGTACTTTCTAAAGCGGGAACTTGTAGGCGGGAAAAGTGGTCGTTCGTTTAGACACGTCAAAACAAATTAGCTGTTGGTATGTATGCGAATTTACGACTAGCGCTTATTGCGATAGCTTATAGCGGTTTTGGTGAGCGCGAAAAGGATGGTCGAAATATCACATGAAATCTAAATTTATTACAGTAGTTTTCCCCTTTTAGGCGTTTTGATCGATGTGTGGGGCTATGAATAAGGAGTTTTAGGTTTCCGCGAATGTGACGCTAGTTTTATTGCTTGTACATCTGCCTTAGTGTTATTTTATTTTTAAAACCTTTCTAAAGTAAAGATACACGCTTAATTTTTTTTATAGAAATTTTCTATTAAATCGTAATATAAAAAAAAACCCTTATATATCTAATACCCTTTAAAAAATCACGTCTTTAACGAGTTAAATAAAATAGAAGTTTATGTAAATTAAACATGGACATCCAAATCCAAATTTTTTTTCTACTTTTTGTTTGTATAAATACTCGTTAGGTCCGGGATTTGAACCCGCGGCCTTGCAGCGCCGTAGCCAAACGCTTACCCTTTGCGCTACGACCCGCCTATAATTTGGCCGAAAACGAAAGACATATTTTAGTTATAACTATATCATTTAAATGTTTATAGTACGTTCAGAAGATTCGGTTTTTGCTGATAAATGTCGTTTAGGTATTCCATGATCGCTGTCTATATATTGAAATATAAAAACTACATAATAACAGCCCGTATCAAATCAAATTGAAGAACTTCAACTAAATTGGCGACCGAAAATTCGAATTACGAAATTGCTCATAACTAATTCAAATATCGAGTGATGAGTCGAGTGGGTGGCGACATACGATGATGGGGTAAAAATTACCCCCGCGGGTAATCCGGAGCCCACACCCTATATGCAAGTTGTACGTCAGTGGTTGCCCGTGTAACAAATAAAAATACACGCACACATTCACAAACAAGTGTGTGTCGGAGGGAATGATAATGGTGTATTTCCGTTGTCGAGTGAATCCCTGCAATAGGTGCTTTGCCATTCATTTCAGATGAGGTTTATCAAACATTTTAACTTAGAGTTTATAACGTTGTATATTCGTTGTATATATATGTTTAGTAAATTTTTTAGTTTTAATGAAAATTTGACTATTTTAATAGAGATAAAATATGTTTTAATTAATTGTAGTAATTTCAATTATTCGATGAAAAGAAAATTTTGATTATTATATGAAATATATCATTTTTAAATTATTACCGAGTTATTCTTGCAGTCAAATTATATTGAATTAAGTTATTCAATAGGATCGCATAATTTATTTTAATTTTATCTGAGTCATGATATGACCAAATACTTCTCAATTTATGTTAACAAAAAAAGCCGCATGATCACACGCCAATAACCCTTAAAACACACAGTGGCTTGAAAAAAGTAAAGAAGCAAACAAACTGCACCCGACGTCATCACGCGTGTTTCACGAGGCATTTAATATTTTTATTGCACTCCATAAACATAAGGTATGGCAAACAAAATGGTCATTAAATCGCACCCATTAAACACCTCCCCGCCGAATATGGTTTTTTGGCTGCCGACATGTAATGCATTGCTAAATAAGGTTGTAGTATAAAATAAAATAGTGCACAGATAAATATGAAAGACTATTTAGTCTTAAAATCTGCTTTTAATTTTAATTTTATAAAAGAAAGGGTGACAACCAGTGCGTGTTGCCAGTGATGTATGTAAATGAACTGAGTATGGAACTGAGACGTGGAACTTCACTGCTGGCCGTATGAGGAAGCTCAAGGCCGCTCAGCGAGCCATGCTCGGGGTTCCTCTGCGTGATATACTTAGAAATGAGAATATCCGCAGTAAAACCAGAGTGACCGACATAGCCCAACGGATTAGTAAGCTGAAGTTGCAATGTACCGGCCATATAGCTCGAAGTACCGACAACCGATGGGGGAAAAGGTTCTCAAGTGGCGGCCTCGTACCGGCGCGCGAAGTGTAGGGCGTCTCCCCACTAGATTGAGTGACGACCTGGTAAGATGTGCAGGAAGTCGATGGATGCAGGTAGCTCAGGACCGTGCTTTGTAGCATTCCTTGGAAGGGAGGCCTATGTTCAGCAGTGGACTTGTGAAGGGCTGTAATAATAATGATGATGACGAAAGGTAACA